GTAATGAGGGAAAAAAACTTAGACCGTGTTTTTGGATTAAAACAGCGACTTTGCACTGTATTTTCATATGGTATTTATTGTTGTATTCTAGTTTTCCTGGTTTCATTTATAGAATGGAAGACATATTACAGAAATTGAGATGATTTTGACTGGTTTTACAATGAAAAGTACCTTGAAATTGAGCTCAAAGTAGCAGAAATGTTCAATTTTTACCAAAGTTCAAAAGTAAACAAATCATGCTACGTGTCCAATACACATCAACTGGTGAGTCTAATATTCTTTCACAAGTGCGCTGATATTATTTATACCATTTCTACACTAATGCAGTAGTCTGCATAACAGTAAATCTTCTATTTTTTGTGAGAATAAAAATTCAAAGTGGAAAGAAAAAAAATGTAAGAGGGGCATGAGGACGTGACTAATGAACAGAGGAAATGTTATTTTAGTGCCAGGAATGTCTTTCTTGTTTATTCTGGACCCTATTCGGAAATTGGCATCTTTTGAAATTTGTGTGAAATTGGCAAAATTACTAAATTCTGACCACTTTGTTGGATAGTTGAAATCAGTAAATGGGTGGTTTCTTGTACTCATTCGATAGAAAAAAATGGAGCTCTAGTGAAATAGTCATGATTTTTGTCGACTAGTACACCGGAATTGGCCGAAAATAGGGCTCAAAGTGGGCAAAATCACCGATGCGTAAACATCTGAGACCGCTAACTTCCCGAGAGAATAATTCCGTAAGTTTTCCATCAAATTTCATACTTTTGGTGTCATTATGATCGGGAAAAGATTCTCTATCTTTTCATTAGAAAAAATAATTTTTTTTTTTTTTAATTTGGCGACCCTGAGAACAAGTCTCGGAGAGGGCCTGGCGACCCTGAAAGGGTTAAACCCAACACTACCACCACTTACTCCTCACATACATTATGACACATTTTATTAATTCTAGAGTATATACAAAAATGTATCATGTTTCTATATTATTAATATTGTTTATGTCATATTAGATGAATTGTGACAGATAAATAAGCCGTAGAGATATTAGCATCATATTGAAGCATAATAAACTCGCCTCCCTCTTGCCTCCTACCTGTCTGCCATATACCAACGAGAGTCTTCAATAAAGGTAAGTGTGATGTTAAATGTTCATTTATCCATTTTATTAGTGCTTTATATTTATTTGTCATTGTTTTCTGTATGTAAATCTATATTTATTCTTTAAAAAAAATATTTTTTGTTAATACTTTTGGGTGTCTGAAACAGATTAAATTGTATTTCTATTATTTCTTGTGGGGAAAATGGGTTTGCCATTCATGAATTCTGACTTTCAGCAGACTCTCTGGGATGGATTAATCATGAAAAACAAGGGTCCACTGTATATGAAATCTACTTAATTATTATGACAATCAGAAATTATTCAAGAAATAAATGAGAAGAGTTCAAAGAAGGCATTTAACCCTTAAACGGTCCAAACGTATATATACGTTCACTCGCGTAGCGCTTCAAATTTTTTGATGAAAAAAGAAATCTTTTCTTTTAAAAGGAAAAAAGAGCATATGGTACCCAGGCATCCCCAATTATTTTAATATGGAACACGGTGAGTGCACACACCCATTCTCTCATGTCTAGGTGACTCAGGCTTATTGTGGCAATGTTGAATGAATGACAAAGAAAACGTATATATACGTTTGGGGCGCTACGTGCGTGAATGTATATATACGTTTGGACCGTTTAAGGGTTAATGAAGTTCCAGATGAGAGAATACTATGGAAACTGCAAACCATGGGAAGAGTAACCAGCAAACTATTAATATAGTGGTTGAAATATTTTCAGTTTGAAAAATTAATGGAATATCCTCACGGGATTGTCACAAGCAGGATACCATAAGAAATAATAAAAATTATGCCAACATGTTTGCGAATGAAAAGAAGGTCCTATATAAGATAAGCATTAAAAATAATAAAAAGTCATAATATTGTGACTGCAACAACTCCCCAAAACCTGCACCTAGGAGAGGAACAATGGCATTGTACTACAACCTACTACAACCTGGAGCATTATAAGGTCATAACTGTGGTTAATGTGATTTAACAATGGTTCATGATGAGATGAAACATGGTCACGAGGTTCCTCTCCTAAGTGTAGGTTTTGGTGACTAAGCATTAAGAAAAACAGTGTTTCCCTGCAGAAAGATGAAGAAAGACTAAGCAAGTGCACAGATAGAGGTAATTTTCTTATACAGTCTCTCCTCACTTAGCGACGTACTCGTTTACCAACGACTCGGACTTACGGCAGGCTCTCTGACCAGGATGCATACTGAAAATAATGTATATTAACCCTTTGACTGTCGCAGCCGTATATATACGTTTACGAGGTACCGTGTTTGACGTATATATACTCATAAATTCTAGCGGCTTCAAATCAGGCAGGAGAAAGCTGGTAGGCCCACATGTGAGAGAATGGGTCTGTGTGGTCAGTGTGCACCATATAAAAAAAATCCTGGAGCACGCAGTGCATAATGAGAAAAAAAAAAACTCCGACCGTTTTTTTTTTAATTAAAATGCCGACTTTGTGGTCTATTTTTGTATAGTATTTGTGGTTGTATTCTCGTTTTCTTGGTCTCATTTGATAGAATGGAAACTATATTATAGAAATAGAGGTGATTTTGATTAATTTTACTATAAAAAGAACCTGGAAATGGAGCACAAAGTACGGGAAATGTTTGATTTTTGCCAATGTTCAAAAGTAAACAAATGATGTCATTGTCCAATAAATGTCCAAATAGCCATTCTAATATGCAGTCATGAATGGGTTGATGTAATTTTTACAATTATTACAGTATTGCAGTAGTTTGCATAACAGTAAATCTTCTATTTTTTGTTTGAATAAAATTTCAAAATAAAAAGCAAGAGTAATATCACAGGGGCCTGGAGACATGACTGATGAACAAAGAAAATGTTATTTTAGAGCCAGGAATGTCTGCATTGTTCATTCTGGTCCTTATTTTGAAATTGTCATATTTTTTAATTTTCGTGAAATTGGTCAAATTGCAAATTTCTGATCATGTTATTGGGTAGTTGAAATCGGTAAATGGGCAGTTTCTTGTACTCAATCAATGGAAAAAATGGAGTTCTGAAGAAATAGCTATTAGTTTGGTTGACTGGAATAATGGAATTAGCCGAAAATAGGGCTCAAAGTGGGCGAAATCGCCGATTTGTAAATATCGCCGAGGTCGCTAACTTCGCGAGAGCGTAATTCCACCAGTTTTCCATCAAATTTCGTTTTTTTGGTGTCTTTACAATCGGGAAAAGATTCTCTATCATTTCATAAGAAAAAATAATTTTTTTTTTTTTTTGAAATTTTGCGACACCAGGAGACACCTCAGGATTGGGGGTTGTTACAAAAAACATGATTCTAAAAGCTTAGAGATCTCCAGTGAATACTAGAAAGGACTTCCCTTCTAGCATCCAGCCTGTTACTGGGTTTTCATAACAAGTAGTCAGTATCCTTGTCCAATTATCCATTAGAATTCAGTATGATTCAATAGTGCTTCAGGATTACAACTGGTAGGCTACTAACTAGAGAAATTAAAATTTAATAAATTTGTTAAGTATCGTCTAGAGGTATATCATCAAATTAAATTAATCAATTCAAACAAATTAATAATAATCACTTCTCTCGTATACAATAGTATTGTGCTGAAAGCACATATCACATTTATAATTCTTAAGTACCGTCTGGTACATTAACATTTAATAAGATATTACAAATATGTACAAGTAAGTTTGTGTATGTGTGTAAGTGCTCTAAGTAGTTCGCTATGTCTCAAGACTCGACTAGACTTAAACAAGTGACTGACAAAGTCCTCAAATAAACTAAGTTCTTGACCAACTGGCAATCAGAACAGTCTGCTTGAACAATAAAAAGAATGCTAAGCCCAATAGCAATATAACAAGCAACTGCGACACAGAATCAGGAACAAGGAGATAATATAAGGACACTAAGTAGGGACCATCTGCAGATCCTCCACAAAAGTCACACATCTCCCATACTACTGAATCTAAGTTCAGCATAAGGAAATCCCCGACTGTGATAATACACAGATACCAGTACAAGTTAGGTCAGAAGCTACAGCTCAGGACCTGAGTTGCTCAGAGTGTCTATGCGACACACAACCTCAGTACAACGTCGAAAATCACTAAGTCTATACAATGTTCTGTGAACAGAGCTCTACAGAACTAACAAGAATAATGAGACAGACAATCTGTCCAACCACCAAGAGAGTCTAGACCAGACTGAATACTTCAGGTGAGGTGAGGACCCCCCCCCCCCCTCGATCACGTGATAGCTCCGTGGGTCGCTGCCCAGCAAGAAGCCGGCAGGGAAACGAGCAAAGAGCGATAATTACAGTAGTTAGACAATCAAGACTTGAACTGAGCACATAATATGTTACATCCTACCTAACCAAAGGAAGCTAAGTCAAATAACAATATAAAGCAGTACATTTATGATTTAGCTATTATCGCAAATACAAGCAATATAAAATTATATGAAAAGGTAATAATTATATATATACATATTAATCATTGCAACCCATTCAGGGGTTGCAACAGGGGTTTCGACAGTTCAAAGGGTTTAAAAATGATTTCCTCTATTTGTTTTTTCAAAATACAGGAAAACTACTAAAAATGTTATAATGGTGCAGGGGTGAAATTAAAACCATTAAATATAGTTGGCACAAACCCACCACCCTTATAGCATGCTCCGTGCTTAGCGACGAATTCATTGACTGACATGGTCTTAGGAACAGAACTCCGTCGTTAAGTGAGGAGAGGCTGTACTCTTAGTGTCTTACTTACTACATTGCAATATAGTTTTAGTCATCTATTAAGACTTTGGGTAATTATTTTATATTTGAGGTAATATTCAGTATCATGGGTGACTGGGTCTCTCAGGTAATATTCACTAGCATGGGTTGTCACTGGATTTTATCTTTTCAGAAGCTGAAGCAAGCTTTGGCTTCCAGCAGCACTGCAGCACGGCCAGGATGTAATAAAATATCTCGAGCCAATACTGCTGACCGCATTGCTGAAATGACACGATCCCGTAATTTCAGTGGTACAAGTAGTACTGAGGTCAGTTGCATTTCAAGCTTTTCTTTTTTTTTTTTCTAAGATTCACAATGGACTAAAATCTATTAGTATATAATTTTCATATATGGTAGTCCCCCTATATCTGCAGGGGGTTACATTCCAAGACCTATCGTGGATGACCAAAAGCGCAGATAGTAGCAAACCCTATATATGTATATATAAGTTGTTTTCCATTCATATACATACCTATGATAAAATCTAATTGATAAATTATGCACTATAGGTTGTGAATTATCATGTTTTCTCTTAGGCTTTGAAGAACTGCCATCATCACTACGTTTGTGCTTTGTGGTCATTATTAAGCAAAATTAAGGTTTATTTTCAAGCCACGGTAAACTGTTGATAACTGAAACTATGGAAACCAAATCCGTGGATACAGGGTTCAGGCTGTACTGTTAAGCAATGTTTTATTCTTAGGTGGTGTTGTCTTAAATAATAAAAAGGCACAATATTGTGACTGGAACAATACACAAATAACCTGTGCTTAGGAGAATATAACTTATGACATTTTAGTCCGACTTATACCATTAACTAGTTAATGGTCCATGTTGAACCGAAATGTTGTATTAAGTTTCATTTTCCTCTGTGTTATTTTACTTGCACAAGTAAATGTTATTGAATATATTTATAAACAAATATTTTTTATTTGGCTGAATAGGGTGAAGGTGATGAAGATGCCACAAGTGGCAGTAGTAACCTGGTGAAAGGGGAGAGAAAGCGCCGTCATTCGTCAGATAATGAAGATCCTGCAGAGAAGCGGAAAAAATTTCTTGAAAGGAACAGGTGAGAAGGATTTCAGATTAGGTATTTTATGTTATATCTTTTAAAAGATCATAATCTTAGATTTTCTTACTTATTTGTCGCTGTTCAGTTCATCATTTATTATTTTTACTTGAAAATGTGCCATGCAGATTCTTTAGATTACTTTGCCATTACATTGTATACATTTCACTTGTTACTTTTCTTTCTCCAGAGCTTAAGTGTATTGTAGAAAGGTCTGTTTTTTACTTTTAGCCCAGCTTTCTGACTTTACTTTCCTATGTCTATCAGATAAGATAACAGGTATCCTGTCTTGGACATACATGAGCCAATCATCAGCCTTGGTCCAGACTGCTTATGTGTTAGATGGGACTTGAGTCCTAGAGGTGGAAAGTAAAGTGCCTGCACTCTAAACAGGAGGTGGGGATATTTGCTGTTTGGAGGGGCATCTGAACTGTTATCTCTGCATATCTCTGGCAAGACAGTGATAGTGTGAATGATGGTAAAAGTTTCTTTTTTGGGTCACCCTACCTCAGTGGGAGATGGACAATGTGTTAAAAAAACTGGATTATTACTAATGCTTGTTAAAGTGTTTTTCTTTACACTTTATATGTGTAGAAAGAGGTCTGGTAATAAATAATAGATATTTTATGAAAAAGAGGATAAATAAATATACAAGGTATGATGTAGCATGTAATGAAAGTACAGTGGACCCTCAGCTAACAATATTAATCCGTTCCTGAAAGCTCATCGTTAGCTGAAATTATCGTTAGCTGAATTAATTTTCCCCATAAGAAATAATGGAAATCTAATCCGTGCAAGACACCCCAAAGTATGAAAAAAAATTTTTTTTTACCACATGAAATATTAATTTTAATACACACAAACTGACACTTAACTTTATTGAAGATCTGGTGATGTTTGATGGGATGGGAGGAAGGGAGAGTGTGGAAGTTGTTAATGTTTAGATGGGGAATCCCCTTCCATTAGGACTTGAGGTATGAAGTCCTTTTCTGGGGTTACTTCCCTTCTTCTTTTAATGCCACTAGGACCAGCTTGAGAGTCACTGGACCTTGGTCGCACAACAAATCTGTCTATAGAGGTCTGTACTCCTGTTCCTTTAAGATTTGCCTAAAATGGGCCACAACATTGTCATTGTAATAGTCACCAGCATGGCTTGCAATAGCTGTGTTAGGGTGATTTTCATCCATAAAGGTTTGCAGTTCAACCCACTTTGCACACATTTCCTTAACCCTTTGACTGTCGCGGCCGTATACATACGTCTTACGAGGTACTGTGTTTGACGTATATATACTCATAAATTCTAGCGGCTTCAAATCAAGCAGGAGAACGCTGGTAGGCCCACATGTGAGACAATGGGTCTGTGTGGTCAGTGTGCACCATATAAAAAAAATCTTGGAGCACGCAGTGCATAATGAGAAAAAAAAAACTCCGACCGTTTTTTTTTTAATTAAAATGCCAACTTTGTGGTCTATTTTCGTATAGTATTTATGGTTGTATTCTCATTTTTTTGGTCTCATTTGATAGAATGGAAAACATATTATAGAAATAGAGGTGATTTTGATTGATTTTACTATAAAAAGAGCCTAGAAATGGAGCTCAAAGTAGGGGAAATGTTTGATTTTTGCCAATGTTCAAAAGTAAACAAATGATGCCATTGTCCAATATATGTCCAACTAGCCATTCTAATATGCAGTCATGAATGGGTTGATGTTATTTATACAATTATTACAGTATTGCAGTAGTCTGCATAATAGTAAGTCTTCTATTTTTTGTTTGAATAAAAATTCAAAATAGAAAGCAAGAGTAATATCAGAGGGGCCTGGAGACATGACTAATGAACAAAGAAAATGTTATTTTAGAGCCAGGAATGTCTGCATTGTTCATTCTGGACCTAATTTTGAAATTGTCATATTTTTTAGTTTTCGTGAAATTGGCCAAATTGCAAATTTCTGACCACATTATTAGGTAGTTGAAATCGGTAAATGGGCAGTTTCTTGTACTCAATCGATAGAACAAATGGAGTTCTAAAGAAATAGCTATGAGTTTGGGCGACTGGAACAACGGACTTAGCCGAAAATAGGGCTCAAAGTGGGATTATCGTCGATTTCTAAACAGCGCCGAGGTTGCTAACTTTGCGAGAGCATAATTCCATCAGTTTTCCATCAAATTTCATTTTTTTGGTGACATTACAATCGGGAAAAGATTATCATTTCATAAGAAAAAATAATTTTTTTTTTTTTAAATTTTGGGACACCAGGAGACACCTCAGGATTGGGGGTTGCGACAGTCAACGGGTTAATCTTTGAAGTAGGCACAATGGATCCCACAACTGGCATAGGCATCTCAGGATTAGCCCCAAACCCTTCAAAATCTTTCTTAATTTCCATACTACTTCTCACCCTTTTTATCACAGGGTTGGCACTAGAAGCTTTCTTGGGGCCCATGGTGACTTATTTTGCAGGCACAATCACTAAAAATGCTGTGATAATATGAAATGTTCCGATTGTATGCATGGATGCGACTGCACTGGCTGGCTTGTAAACACTGGCACCCACGGGACAACTGAGACGCGCTCAGGCCACACGTGGACGCGTCTCGAACGAATCGCGTTGGGTGAGTTTTTTAGCGTTAGCCGAGGCAAAATTTTTGCGTTAAAATGTATCATTAGCTGGATTTAACGTTAGCTGATGCCATTGTTAGCAGAGGATCCACTGTAGTTTGTTAGATTATGTATTGGTGGATAAAAGGTTGATGGGTAGGCTCCAGGATGTACACGTTTAGAGAGGGGCAACTGATATATCGGATCATTATCTAGTTGTAGCTACAGTTAGAGTAAGAGGTAGATGGGATAAGAAGAAAATGGCAACAACAAGTAAGAGGGAGGTGAAAGTGTATAAACTAAGGGAGGAGGAAGTTCAGGTTAAATATAAGCAACATTTGGCAGAAAGGTGGGCTGGTGCAAGTATGAGTAGTGGGGGGGGGGGGGGGGTTTTTGAAGAGGGTTGGAATAGTTTTAAAAATGCAGTATTAGAATGTGGGGCAGAAGTTTGTGGTTATAGGAGGGTGGGTGCAAGAAGAAAGGAGTGATTGGTGGAATGATGAGGTAAAGGGTGTGATAAAAGAGAAAAAGGTAGCTTATGAGAGGTATTTACAAAGCAGAAGTGTTATAAGAAGAGCAGAGTAGTATATGGAGAGCAAGAGAAAGGTGAAGAGAGTGGTGAGAGAGTGCAAAAGGAGAGGGGATGATAGAGTGGGAGAGGTACTGTCAAGAAATTTTAATGAAAATAAGAAAAAATTTTGGAGTGAGTTAAACAAGTTAAGAAAGCCTAGGGAACAAATGGATTTGTCAGTTAAAACCAGAGTAGAGGAGTTAGTAGATGGGGAGATGGAGGTTTTGGGTAGATGGCAAGAATAATTTGAGGAACTTTTAAATGTCGTCGAAGAAAGGGGGGCGGTAATTTCATGCACTGGCCAGGGAGGTATACCATCTTTTAGGAGTGAAGAAGAGCAGGATGTGAGTGTGGGGGAGGTGCGTGAGGCATTACGCAGAATGAAAGGGGGTAAAGCAGCTGGAACTGACAGGATCATGACAGAAATGTTAAAAGCAGGGGGACACATAGTGTTGGAATGGTTGGTATTTTTGTTTAATAAATGTATGGAAGAGGGGAAGGTACCTAGGGATTGGCGGAGAGTGTGTTTAGTCCCTTTGCATAAAGGGAAGGGAGACAAAAGAGATTGTAAAAATTATAGAGGAATAAGTTTACTGAGTTTACCAGGAAAAGTGTACGGTAGGGTTATTATTGAAAGAATTAGAGGTAAGACAGAATGTAGAATTGCTGATGAGCAAGGAGGTTTTAGAGTGGGTATGGGATGTGTACATCAAGTGTTTACATTGAAGCATATATGTGAGCAGTACAGTGGACCCCCGGTTAACAATATTTTTTCACTCCAGAAGTATGTTCAGGTGCCAGTACTGACCGAATTTGTTCCCATAAGAAATATTGTGAAGTAGATTAGTCCATTTCAGACCTCCAAACATACACGTACAAACGCACTTACATAAATACACTTACATAATTGGTCGCATTCGGAGGTAATCGTTATGCGGGGGTCCACTGTATTTAGATAAAGGTAAGGAAGTTTTTATTACATTTATGGTTTTAGAAAAGTCATAGTGGATAGGGAAGCAATGTGGCAGATGTTGCAAGTACAGTAGGACCCAGCTTTACGGCGTTTCGCTTTACGGTGTTCCGCTAATACGGTCATTTCAAATTATGACCAAAACTCGCTATATGGCTCCCCCCACCTGACTTTCTAATACGGTCACCGTGCCCCACCCTGTTTGTTTACATTCTCTGTGAGCTCCGTAAGCACTAAGTGTCTCCATTATGTCTGGAAACTCCAAAATTTCAAGTGTTTTTAAAAGTTATTTCATATTTTATATATATATTTTTTTTTTGTTTTTTTTCAACAAGTTGGCCGTCTCCCACCGAGGCAGGGTGACCCAATTATATTTATTATATTTATATTATTAATTAATTATATTATTAATTATATTTATGTATACCTGTACCTAAATAAACTTACATACTGTGCTGGCATGCAGGTACACATTAAAATCAGTAAGAGTGTCTTATATCTCGAGACATATTAGTAATGATGATAATAATCACAGTCTCTCATTTAAATGTCGTATATTACGTTAATATACACATTTTCATTAATCCATTTATGATATTTTTTCAAAATTATATAATAAACATGATGCATAACATATAAAGATGATAAATACACCCCACAGTAGAATAAATAAACATAAATATGAGATGTGGTAGCCAGACGACTTGCACAAATGACGCCATATTAGAAATGATAATAATGATGATAATAATCACCGAGCCTCATTAAATGTCGTATATTACGTTAATATACAAATTTTCATTAATCCATCCATGATATTTGTTTTCAAAATTATATAATAAACACGATACATAACATAT